GGTGCCGGACTACAGCAGTGATGATGAGGCTGTTGCCCAGGAGGGCAGCCAGGTAGATGGCCAGGAAGAGCCAGAAGTGCAAGAGCTGCAGCTCCCACGTGTCTGCGAATGCCAGGAGGAGGAACTGGGTGATGGAGCTGTTGTTGCACATCTGCTGCCTCTGGGCACGGGGACCTGTCCAAGGAGGAAAAGGCAGTGATAAGTTAGGGGAGAGTTCTCTCAGGAAAACCTATTCCAGTTGTCATGGAACCCCCCCAGACTGCCTCACCCCTTTCAGGGGGACCTTTGGCAGGTCCCTTTCATGAGCTCTGTTTGGTGCTGGCTGAGGGTGCCATGGGGTGCAGGTGTCTCTGCTGGGCTTTGGAGGTGTCAGTCCTGCCCTACGGCAATAGGTAAGAGCAACGTGGGGATGAAATCCACTCTTGATATCAACAAGCTTTTCAGCATTGTCTCTGTATTTAACCCAACAGCAGAGCAATGCTGAGGGGATTTCAGATTGTGTATTTTGTTCTGGTTGCCCCACCACAACTGAGGAGTGCTATTAAAGCAGAAATCCTTGGCAGTTCTGCTGCACTCACAGCGAAATGCTGTGGGTGCTCACAGACAAAGGGACTGTCCCTTAGTGCAGGCTGTGGGGAGCTGGTCTGTCCATCAGCCCTGGTCTCAGCTGCCTTTTCCTTGCAACTCATTTAGCTGCAGGATGCTCACACCCAGATGTTCACCTGAGGAGAAACTGGAAACATCTGAGAGCAAAGGAATCCAGTTCTCAAATGCAGATCTCCAAACCCCTGCCCACCATCCCATCGTACCTGAGGAGGATGTCAGCTCTCCCCTCCCAGCCACGGACACACAGGGCTCGTTGCATCTGCCCACACACACACCTGAGCCACAGTGCCATGGCTTTAGCGCTGAGTTGTCTTCTCCATGGGGCACTGAGAGTCCATGGGAGAGCCGTGCCCTTCTGGAGGGACCCCCAGAGAAAGAGTCAAAAGTCCTGAAGATGGGGTGTCTTGAAGTGAGGGTCAGATCGTTGCCAGCCCCACACACTGCAGTGCCTAGAGCCCCCAAGTAAGGTGGGGACAAAGGCAACAAGGACAGAAGGGGAAACAGAGAACAATGCCCCAGTGCTCCTGCCAAGGGAGGGAGGGGAGGGACAGACTGACTGAGAGGCACTCAGGCCTCTCTCCTCACTGCGGGTCGGGCTGCCAAGAAGACAACTCAGCCTGAAACTCCATGACCCTGGTGACAAAGGCTGTGGTGGGTATGAGAGGAGGCCAGGAGGGTGCTCCTTGAAGGTGTCTACACTGCAGGGGATGGCAGGGAGGGGCCTGAATCCCCACTCCCATGGTGTTTCTGGGAGTATCTCCCACTCACTTCCTGCCCATGTCTCTGATGCCTGGAGATGTCCCTGCCAGGAGCTGTTTCTCTGTCCCCAGGTCTCCTCCCTGTCCCTGTTCACAGTCCCCATCCCAGCCGCTGTGTGCTCAGCTCTGCCCTGCAGACATCTCCTGGCAGCAGGGCACTGCCCAGGGACTGCTCTGTATGTGCAGGAGTTCAGGACAAGCTCAGACAAGTCCAGATGAGAACTGGGGCCTCCATGCCTTCTCCAGAGCAGAGGAAAAAATTCCAGTCTCCCACTGCCCACCCAGCCAACCAAGAGGAGAAAATTCAAAGCACAGACTCCTTCCCTCTTAGGTAACCCCCATCTTGACCTTCCTCTTGAAAAGCCCCCTTGGAAATTCCTTGGGGGTGATCTGGAGCTGTAGGCAGCCCTAACCCATGCAGTACTCTCTTGACATCAGGACCCTGTCCTGCCCTGCCAGGTGTCACTCCTTCCACTCACAGCTTCTTCCCGCAGTGCTGTGGGGAGCTCCCCGGGCAGGCTGTGGTGATGCAGGCAGGAGGCAGATTCCCTGCCTGAGCACAGCCCCCCTGGGGTGCAAGGACCCTGCTCTGAAGAACAGCCCTTGGCTGCATACCCGGCTTCTCATCTTTGCAGCCATCTCCAGGAGAAGGGGGGATGAACTGTCATGACTTTTCCCTCTGAAGGTGCAGCAGGGAAGCCCTGCTCTGGAGCCAATCCTCTGTGTCCACACCAGAGAAGCCAAGACAGACATCGGTCATGGGATGTGCCAGCTCTGGAAGACACCTCCAGGCTACCCAGCTGAATTTCCCTGCTGCCAGAGACTTACTGTGTCAAATGCTGTGAAGATGTTTCTGTGAACAAGCTCAGCTCTTGCCTCTCACTCCAGATTGCCTTTAGCTTCTCTCCACCTCAGTTCTCTCCCCTTGGTGCCTGCAGGCAGTGCCCTCAGCCCTGCTGCGCTTTGCAGAGGAACTGCTCCTGGGCAGAGCTGTCTCTCGGCAGCACTGCCCACTTGCTCCATCCCAGGAGCCCAGCCCAGCTCAGCAGCAGAGGACCAGCCCAAGGCAGCGCTTGCTCTGCTCCCTCTGGGCTCCCTCCAGGTGTCCCTGGGGCTGCAGGGGAATCTGCTGGGACACAGGCTGAATGAATCCCTGATGTTCCCTCCCTCAGCTGGGGACAGAGGCTTCTTTCCAGCAGTGTCATTGCTCCTGTCAGAGATAAAATTAGGTCTAAAAATCACCTT